ATAATCTTTTAACTGTAAAAAAATATGAATTTCTCTTGAGAAAAATGAATTAAAAGTTAATAATATACAAACTTGAAAAACACTGAGAAATAAAATAAATTGAATTTAATTCTCATGGTAATAATCACAGTTAACATTTGAAAGGAAAGGAAAGAACAGAAATTGATAAACATGTTATTGGCAAGAAATTTATCGAATGTGAGAATTTTTAGAAAAAGTTAAACAAAAGAGAAAAATTAAAGGGTGAAAAAATATATTACTAGAGCAAAACGATAAATCAGTATTAATAAGTAAGACGGTCAAACAATGCGGAGAGTGGATTTGCGGACTAACCATATAGTAATCCTGAGAGGGAGACCTGCCTGTCACAGATACATTCTGCACCAGAGTTCTATTGCTCGTCTGAAAGTAGGTTATATATTCAGTTTTACATAGTCAAATAAGTCCACTGTTCATTTCTTTTTTTCTTATAGTATAATTGTTAAAAAGCTTCTTAAACAGACTCGTTTAAGGAATAAGTTGCTTTGTAACATTGCAAAGTAATTGACAAAAGTCAATTCGCTGTACTCGAACATTACAATGCTTTCAAATTGAAAGAAACGTTAGATCTCATTAGTTACTATCCTGAAAATAGATAATAATTCTAATGGCAAGATCTCATGTTTCAATGATTTCTCCTTCTCTATTGATAACCAATATCCTTGAGGGATCTAACACATTTAGGAATGTCTTCTTTCATTGGCTCTTTTTTTATTTCTTTACGCATACAAACGTATTCTCCTGACAATATGTGAGTTTCATCGGCCAATTTTCCAGGCGTCTGCTTTCAGAATGTCAAATGATTTGACAATAATTGTGTGCCTGAGTGTTAACAAGACGTGTCTCATGTATTACAAAAAGTGGAATACTTTTTCTTGGACCGCCCAAAACTCTGTTTTGCTTAATGTTAATTCATGAATTAAGAAAACTTGTGAAGAATATTGTAAAATTTTAACAGCTATATTTTTATTAATTTTATAGTTTCTTAAATAGTGTATGCAGTTGATATTACGCTTAATATTACTTTATTGCACTTTCAATAATTGTCACATGAAAATGATAGTTTACGTATAATCAAACAAATGACGAAAAGTATAGTAAAAGGTAAATAAATGAAAGATGTCGAGAGAAAAATACAGTTAGAATCTAACATGACTTTAGTCAATCAATGATTATACATAAACTCAAAAGTTTATAGATTATAAACAAGCATTTTATAAACTTTACATAAGAAATGGATAAAGAAAGAAAAAAAGCGCAGAAGTATAGGAAGAATAAAGGACTATATGGACCATTCCTAAGTGGCTCTCTTTGTAGAATTATGTAAACACCATCTCAAGTTCAAAACAAATTTACAAAGTTATTTAATGTCAATGTCAATGTCAATGTCTGTGTAAGTGTGTGTATAAAAAGTGAACATTCTTGTACATATATAAAAGTCAATCAACTATTAGTCGAATCCAATATATTATTGAATAAAAAAAATCTTATTAATGTTACATAAAATGTGAAGAATATAATATCCCTTTAAGCATGCAACAGATAAATGACTGAATTTATTAAGCATATTGGAAATAACTAAGATATAATTGACCTTCCTGTATGTAGACTTTAGTATCAAACACATCGTAACTCCAACTTTTAGGGTGTTTAGATTTTATTAAACTTTACCATTTGGACTTTGATAAAAATACTAGATGCAGCGAGGTCCAACTGCACAACACAACATCAATTAGGAACACCAAACCTAATTCATTGTACTACTTATTACATGCTTAACATTTTTTCAACTCAGAAATATCAAAGAAACTTAAAATTTTTGAGATGGGAGATGTTAAAAATCAATCTTCCAACGGTTCCAAGTCAAAAAAACCAACCAATGATTTCTTGACTTGGAATTTAGAAATTTTATTACAAATAGTATAATAAAATCAGAAAACTTGTTAGGATTATCCAAGACTTGTTGTTCCTCCAACTGACGTATAAAGTGACGAATAAAATTACTCAATAAATAATAAATTGAGATTTACATTTCGGTACACCCAACATCGCAATCCCTCGTCGCATCTAGTATTTATATTTATCCAAGAATAAAGTTTTAAATATTATGCTAGTTATTAAATTTGCATGGATTTTACAGTAAAGTCTTTTCTTCTGTGAAAAATAAGGTTTACAACATCCGCGAAATTCGACTAATAAGGCACATAGAGTTTCTATTTTCATGAGTTCTAAGCAATAAATGAGATTCCATCAAAAATTATAAAAGAATAGAATAACATAAATCTAATGTTCGGCTATTTATTTACTTTTACAAACTTTTACAAACAACTAATAAACTTGCAATGTAACGATAATTATTTACATGGTGGATTAATATACAAAAAAAATGTTGAATAATTCATAAGAACTGAAGAATACTATAAAGTAATATCTACTATAAATAGCGCCGCTATATTTGCTGTACATATAAGGACTTGAGCCGAAATAAGAAGAAATTCTCTTGTAACTTATTTAGTTGCAAGCTAATAAAAAAACATAGTATGAATTCTAATCAGTGCCTTCTCTAAGAGAAGGGATCACTTCACACGACTGTACTTAAGAGGGAAAAATATTTGAAACAATTACATTTGTCATTCTTTTTCTTTTAAAAATAGATTTACACATCTTCTGTATTAAAACTAAAAGTTTTCATGAAAAGTTTCTTTTGCTTTTTCTAATTCTATTTAACAATTTCTTCACGTTCAGTCAGATATTTTTTTGTAATTTTAGCATAAGATTTTTAAATAAATCTGTCCATAAATTATTGTATCAAATGTAGTGGCTACTGCTTCTTATATTCCTTCAGGATATTAATTAAAAAAAAATTAATATAATTAAACTGTGAATTTAAATGCAATTTTCTTTTAGTTTTTCAAGAAACTAACTTCAACTAACTTCAGAATATTAGATATTTATGTTTCTTAAATGTTTACACAAAATTTAAATTTCTTATTACTTTGCTCATGAAAATAGAAAGTAATTTGTCATAAAAATGAACATCCGAAGATGTAGTATGATAATTAGGATTTTTTATAATATACATACATATAATATATGTATTTCTTTAATTCAAGGAGGATTGCTAAATGAAATATAAAAATGTACTAAAATTAAAACAAGACATTAAAATAGAATTTGCGTAAATTAAAATAATACAGGTCACTTATTTAATTACATATTTCTGTTTATAAAATAGAGGCTGTATTATTATATATTTTGCAAACCAAAAACAAAAAAATAAAGAAATAAATGTTTAAGATACAATTCCAGTCAAACTTTTAAACATTACAATATATTTAGTTAATATTTATATTTCATTGTTACATTTAATATTATTTAAACTTGCATGCAAGATAGTAACTGACTAATCATATTGTTTCTGAAAAACATCAACAGAACAGTATTTGGCTCAAATTAATTTTCTTATTATCAATTTGTAAAACTTGGAATTTAAAATTGCTTTTAAAAGTGCATAAAATTTGCAAAAATACGCGGTAAAGAGAAAATAAAATTTTAAATTAATATTCTCAATGAAAATGAAATAATAACGACAACAATTCTTGTAAAATCTATTTTCAATAATGGTTCAAAACTATTAGGCACATATTTTGAAAAATGAAATGAAAAGTTTGGCCGAAATGGTATATACAACATTTTCTTTATGATAATCCATTTTGACTTGATTTCATACATCATGTTTCTTTTAATATTCTAATAAATATTTCTATTGTATTTAATTAAACCCACCAAAGTTCATGATTATATTTATTCGACAGCTTCTAAAGGAGAATGAAAACAGTAGTATAAACAGTGTTCAGCGATGACTTGTTCGAACAAACTTGTTGCACTCGTACATTTCGGAAGACGGTTCAACTACAAGTTCGTCCAAAAAAGACGTCGCCGTACTTAATCAATAATATAGTCATTGAATCATTTTCTACTATTAAATGTATCTTTTGCGATATTTAATTAAAATGATTTAATATGCATCAGATAATAACATTTTTCCTTAAAACCTTTAAGTCTCCGTTGATACACTTACATCTGTCAATTTTGTCAGCGACTGATTACTTTTTCGACATTTCGTATAATTACATAAAACACATAGATATATACGTGATTTTAATTACATAATTATATGATTGTATAGAATTAGGATAGAAGTACTGCGAAAGTTCAGGATTAATCTGGAGCAAAGTGTGTCAACGGAAGGTTATATTGAAGTTTAAAAACATTAAAACTGTATTTGAGTAGAAGATCTCTTCGTTCTCTTTAAAAAACAATTTAATTCAAGTATCCTTTTTACACAACAAGCATTGCCATTTATTAATCTGAAATAAATTAGTGCACCTATTTGAACATGCAAATTCGATGCACATTTTAAAATTCTATTTAATAAATGCTCAAGTAATGAGTAATATCCTTTCATTGAAGACAATAAGTTTATGAAGTGGATTTTATATTTAGTATTGTGGGAAATTTAGAGGTGTGCCATCGGGTAGATTAAACTATCGGTGAAAATTGCAATTGGTTTCATATATATATATATATATATATATATTATATTATATTGTTTCATTCGAAAAAAAAGAAAAAATTCAACATATATTAAAAGAATAAACATTTTTCATCATGCAAATATTGATTAGGTAATTTGAAGAAAAAAACATTTTCCTTTGTATTAATTTTCGAAATGCATACCTCTAAATCAATGTAACAGCTATTGTTAAAATCTATAGTAAGTGAAATGTCACTCGACTTGAGAGTCGATTGAATTTCACCCGAAATTACTAAAAAATAAAGGATATCTGTCTGTTCTGAAGAATAAATTAGGTTGAAATGTATTCCTTTTAAATGACAGGACTTGAAAAATGTAATTTTTGATTTTGAATGAGAATATATGAATTGCAGAAAATAATTACCTGAGTCTGTAGTCGTGTGAGACCGCGGATCCAAAGAATTTGTCCTGCGCGCGGCTTTTTGTCCGAGTCAGGGTCGTACTTCTCGTCTCCCAGATTTATGGCACCAATATCGTCCGGCTGTCCGCGGCCCCATCTGTTTTAAAAAAAACATTATACCAATTTGATTATTTGAAGACGGCTCCTCCACGCACAGCACCAAATTGATGTTTCCTCCTTCGCTCCCCTCACTCTCTAACGGGGTAAAGCAACGCTAACAGAAAGTTACACTACAATTAACGCGAGTGCATAGATAAATACAAATGAATGCCAATCGTTACAAACTTGCACGTACTAAATGTATTTATGAAAAAGAAACATAAAATACTTTCAAAATATGAGTGACAGAAAAGCTATTGAATAAGGGAAAAGAAGGAGGTTTAACACTATTTCGACAGCGAATTATTTGGAATGTTTATATGAGACATGAGTTGAATACACGGGAAGGTGTATGACTAATAATAATAATAATAATAATAATAATCATCATCATCATCATCATCGATGTAATAAAAGAGTATCTGCTCAGAGTGTACCAAGTTGTCACTTTTGTCTACAAAGAAATTTTAAGGGAATTTCAACCATTATGACGCCACAGTTTTAGAACCCATGCTTTGCACAATCTGTGACGTCTTAATGTTTCAAATGCCCTTAAAAACAGAAAAAAACAAATTATTAACAAGTTTCCATCAGAGAATCTCCAATGGTTGATTGTGTAGGGAAAAATGGTTCCTAGAGAAAAAAAATTATTAAATAAAAGTTTCACTACCAGTTAATGACATTTTGACAATTAAAAATTTAATAGTCAAGTTTAAAGACATTCCCCTTTGTCTTAGGAAGAAAATAGATTTATAAATATTGAACATCATTCGCAGTGTTCAAAATTATTTACTAGCGAAAGGATAAAAGTTGCACATAAACAAAAAAGCATCGTGTGCATGAAGCACTGAAAAAATGATTAAAAATATGATTTTTAATGCGATAATATTTGCCGAATAGCAAAAGTATTGCAAACACGGTAACTTTGTATGTGAAAAAAGGAAATCACCATATTGGCAATACTTTGGTTATTAAGCAATAATTGCAGAATTAAAAATCACATTTTCGATCGTTTTTCTTCAGTGCATAATAAGGAATTCCAACTTCATAAGCAATTTCACATAAAAGTAGCCACTGTTTCAGTTCTATTTTGGTGAATTAAATTGGAGATACTAAATTTATAACTTAATACACTGAAATAGTACTGGAAACCATTTAAAAATTGCTGACTCTTTGAAAAAGCTATATTTATTTACACGTTTCGATTGAGATCGTTGAGTAAAAATTGTCGTAAATGACCTTCAGTCCTCTAAAGAGTAAAGCATTTTAGAAAATGCTGTTTCATACTAGTAAAGTGTGATCTCTATTAATTATAAAAGAAGGATTTTCCTTAAATTACTCAGGAACCACGGCCTATTCATAATAAATCTTAAATTCAAAGTACGGGATTTAAGTCGATCAAAATATTAAAAAATGTCACAGAAAACAAGATAGGGGATTATTATATAAATACAGATGTTCATTACATGATTATTTTGCTTCCTCTTTACAATTGTGGAAAAGCAATAACATTATTTCAGTTTTTAGTAAATTTATATTTATTTATCTATTTAAGTAGTAAACGGGACAGTGCCCTTTCGTACACCCTGAAAAAAGTAATCTGATAAGTAAAGAGGAAAAATCCTCTTCTACTATCGTCTCAAAACAAAATTATTCCACTTGAATTTATAATATTTATATTATTCTTTGGTAGTTAATAATAAAACAAAACAATTTTTTGAGGTTCAAATGTCAAAAACATTGAATTCAAATGAAAGAAAGAAATATATTAAATAATGTAAGTAATTAACTATTAATCATTAATTATACTTATTTAATTAAAAACGTTGAATTTAGTGCATCAAAATAGTGTTTATTTATCAGTTCATAACCATACTTGGCAAAAAATACTAAATATTATCAAAAACAATGTTTTTTTATATAAAAAAATGTTTTTGAAAAATAGGTAAATGATTTGAATTCATTAGATTAAGTTCTTAAGTAATTCCCAATGCAATCTAACGTCTATACAGTTAGTTGAATCCATTCCATTTGTCGTGATGCAAAGAATAAGGTGTAGTAATAGAATTCTGAATTTAAAGACAAAAATTTTTAGTAAAAAAGTGAAATGTTTAACTTTCTTTGCGATTAACCTATTAATGCTCAAAGCCAGAAAATTATAATTATATAATACTTATTCGCTTATATACCGTTACTCGGCGGTTTTTCGGTTCGCTGATTACGAATTTTATGTTAGTTTTCAGAAATTCAAAATAACGGATTCAATATGGCGGAAGAAAAAATTAAAAATTTTACGAATTCATTGCAAATTTTCAGAAACCCAAAAAGGCAGGTTCAATACGGGGACAAAATGTTTAAACATTCATTTAATTGCCTTTTAGTTAGTTTTCACAAAATTCGAAATGTAGTCTGCAATATGACGAAAGAGAAACCCAGTAAACGAAAACTAATTGAAATGAATTAAAAAGAATTCACAAAGAGCTTTCGTGAATCCCGCTTTGTGACAAATACGAATTGGAGCCATGATGCAATTTTCCTGAATTCGTGAAACTGTATTGAACTTCCGAACCTTCTATCCGTACCAATTCACTGGACAAGTTTTGAGCCTTTAATTTTTTTCAATTCGTTAGCACGAATTCAATGCATTCCTTGGCCATTTCTTTCGAATGCGAATTCGTTTGGACAAATTGGTACATATTGAATTAAATTCAATTGAATATACAAAGAGCTTGAGTGAATCCCGCTTTGTGACAAATACGAATTGGAGCCTACCAAAAATGTTAATTCGTTTCAATTCATTTGAATTAGTTTTTTTTTACTGGGAATTTAAGAATCTGTCTTCTCGGCCTCTGAAGTTTTTATATGTGACTGTCCACGAGAAAACAAGGCTTAGGTCCAAAAAATCAATTTTGATTTTTTTATGGTAATCGACAGATTTTATGTTGCTTTTTCAAATGCAAAAGTCAAAAGTTAAAAATATCAATTACTTTCGACAATATATCGTTTTAAAGATGGGTATGTCAAGCGTCGTTAACTTCAAGCGTAGTACTTCAATCGCTCGCCCTGTGAAATTCACGTTTGGGAGCTAAGCCTTGTTTTCTCGTGGACAGTCACATATACATTTTTGGAAACATGTCGAGAATGTTAAAAAAGTATCAGTACAATTTAAGAAAGTAGTGGTAAAAATATGTATTAAAGTAGGTATTAAGCGTGACAAGAGTAGGTTCTGCAATTGTCACATTGGGCAGCGGTTGACTGAACTTTTAATCTTTTTTTCGTCATATTAAATCCGCCATTTTGAATTTCTGAAAACTAACATAAAATTCGTAATCAGCGACCCCAAAAACCGCCGAGTAACAAAATATAGGCGAATCCAATAACATTTTGGTAATTTAAAAAATAGTGACCAATATGTACTTTTAAATTTTACTCCATATTTGGCGTCATTTTCGGTTCGCCATCTTGAAATTTTGAATTCTAATTTACGCATCTTAAAAGTATAAAATTTTTATGCACTTAAAGTTGAGATTTAAATTTTGTCCATATACGTCTTCTAGGTAAAAACCGCCATTATCAATTTTGACTAAAACCAAATTCACTCTTGACACCGGAATCGAAAAGAGCACAAATCGAAAAGACCAATGGGTAACTTACTTCGTATGGTTTAGCTTTCTTTCCTTTAAATGGCCTCTGGTAATATGGTTTAGCTTCAAAACCGTATTAGGTCGGTGCGAAAAAATGATTTCCAACTACTATGAATTTTTGTCTAGAAGCGTTTGAGTTAAAGATTTATTAAAGAAAAGCATGAACTTCTTAAAGTGTAGAAATTCCGATTGCGAAAAAAAAATTTTGTTAAATTGTGAAAAAATGAATTGTGATTTGACCTATAATAGGTTAAGAGGACGCCGTATTTGAAATTCTTTTCAATATTTTAATTCAACTCAAACGCTTTAAGAAACAAATTAGCAAAGGTAAGTGGAAATCATTCGATGTAACGTACCATAATACGTAACTTTCGAAATCTTTAGTTGCGACGCTCATGAAACTTGAAGTAATTCTTCAAATCTTCACTGATTTTCAATGTTTAACGAAAAAGTTGACTGAACATTACATGAAAGATTAAGAAATTTAAAATAAATTTAAGTAAATTCATGCAATGTTCAGTCAAGTTTCGTGCCAAACATTGATAAACAATATAGACATTTAAAGAATTGCAGCCAAGTTAATTGCAATTAATACATAGTAAACTTTTAATAAATATCAGATAAAATTAAGGTTGAGTCCACAATAAGCAAACATTTTAATTTTAATGTGGACTTACAAACCGAAATTTTAAGACAGTTCATTCAGTTTATTAATTGGAAATTTTCCAACAAGTGCATTTATAGGATCACGTCAATTTTCATACACAAGTTGCCGCAATAAAAATTGAAATAGTAAAAATGTATCTGAAATCATACATGATCAAGTACAGAGAAGGTTCTATTCAAGATCATTTAGTAGTACTTGTACCAGTTTCTGTACCAATCTCATATCTTATTGCTTTTGAACTGTAAAACTATAACTACGCATCCTTCAAAATTTTAATAAAACCTTGTTTCAGGTGAAGAAAAACTGATACAAGAAAATCTACAGGAACATTTTTCCGTTGTTCCATATAGGAAACATTTTCTACATCTAATTATTATTCATTGTTCCAGTTTCTGTTGTGGAAACTTGTGTATGACAAGTAACGTGATCAGATACACCAACTTGTACCAAAATTTTCAACTGGTTTACGTGGTTTAATAGTCAAGAGGGGTATAAATATATGAGTGACGCGCTCCCAAGAAAGATACCTAGGAAGCAAACCAATAATGTATTGATTGATAGTTTCCATTAAATTATGTAAATTTGAAACCAGTTTTTAATAAATATTTTGATGTAATTAAGTCTTGAACATGAATAATTTATAGAAATAATTAATTGTCTAGGAATTTTACACCACTGCCAACCACT